TGCCACGCTGCAGGATGCTGGCAGGTCAAGGGGTTAACGCCGCTGCAGGTCAACAGGTCAAGGGGTCAATGCTGCGCTGCAGGTCAAGGGGTCAACGCCGCGCTGCAGGATGCTGGCAGGTCAAGGGGTTAACGCCGCTGCAGGTCAAGGGGTCAACGCCGCGCTGCAGGATGCTGGCAGGTCAAGGGGTCAACGCCGCGCTGCAGGATGCTGGAAGGTCAAGGGGTCAACGCCGCGCTGCAGGTCAAGGCGTCAACGCCGCGCTGCAGGTCAAGGGGTCAATGCCACGCTGCAGGTCAAGGGGTCAACGCCGCGCTGCAGGATTCTGGAAGGTCAAGGGGTCAACGGCGCACTGCAGGATGCTGGCAGGTGAAGGGGTCAACGCCGCGCTGCAGGATGCTGGCAGGTCAAGGGGTCAACGCCGCGCTGCAGGAGAGGGCAGTACCTTGCATCCAGCCACCACCAGTCACAGCTGCACAGAGGAAGAAGAACAGTGCCATAGCTGTAGGGCACTCAGGTGTAGAAGGAAGCTGGCCCTAGGAGGGGACATCCTTGGGGAACGGAAGGCAGTAGGAAAAAGGAGTTGGCGAGAGACTTACCTGGTTGATGCCAGGAAGAGCTCCAGCATGACATGTTTGTCAAGCAGGCATTAGTGAGAGCAACATGCAGCTCTGCGGCACTGTACACAGTGTAGTTTCGGTACGGGTAGTTGATAGACCAGGTGGTCATACCTGCTGGTAGGGATACCCGCTTGTAGGCATACCTGCTGGTAGGGATACCTGCTGTAGGTAGAGCAGCAAGGTCACAGAGCTGTCACTGTTGTTGAGAAAAATAGATAATATTGAAGAAGATGGTACAGAGCTGTTACTGTTGTTGTCGTATTGATAATTGACTTTTGTTTCGGGAGGAGAGAAGAAGCTTTTCATTACCAAAGAGACTTCAATGTTGTCTGTGACTCTCTATCAGTGTATCTGTATTTTAGGACATCCGTTAAAATTGAAATGATACAGAGAAGATTGGCATGACCCCTTAGAAATGGTCTTCAATTTTTAATTAAAAAAAAAAAAAAACGTTCTGTTCTAACTTCTAAGGGTTCTTGTGCTGGTAGGATCGTCGCGTTGTCTTGTGTGCTACTATGTGCAGGTCAAGAGAGTTCATGGTGCTTGTAATTTTAGCTTCTCCTATGCGGTTCCCTTGCAATCATTAATATATTATTAAAAAAAAAAAAAAAAAAAAAAAGTTGGATTCCTGGATTTGTTTTCTTTTAGCCTTCTTAGAGAGTCTGAAGATCCATCTTAGAGTTGTTCAAAACAATGCCTCCTAAATTTTGCGGGAGTTTTTGAAATTCTGCAGCAGTCTGGAGGCCAATTTTACAAAATATTAGCACCTGAAGTTCAGCCAAACGAGACCTTCATTTGGAAAGAGTGGGGACTGGGTCGGGTCCCAAACGTTTGGCCTGGCTACACTCTGCTTGGAACTTTATTTTCATCTGGCAGGCTACAGGGTATAATCCAAGAAGGCAGTATCATCAATTCAATCAATTGCACAATGTACAAGAAACAAGTATTAACTGGAAGTGGAGCAAACCCAAGGAAAGTTGGATCAAGGAAAGGAGGGGGTTCTCGCATGGCAACCAGCCGGACGTCTGGACCGGAATCCAGACGGTCTGGTTGTCTGGGTATGGGTCCGGTGTCTGGTCCGGTAGGTCTGGATTGGGCCCAATTTTGAAAAATTCGAAACTTTTTTTGGGGGGCGGGTAGAACATATTTCAGGTCCTAAGCCGCCCCCAAAAAATGCCCCCGGTATTTTTTGGCCGTTTCAGGGCCTACCGGACGCCACCAGACGCTGAGTCTGATTCCAAAAATGAAGCGCTGGCTGCAAAGCGCCACAGAACATCAAGCTAGAGAGAGAGAGAGAGAGAGAGAGAGAGAGAGAGAGAGA